ATAAACATTAATAAAAATAAATAACAAAAACAATAGTGCCAAACTGTACATCTAACATTTCACATAAAATCCAAAAAGCCGTCCGTTGTAACAAACATTAAATCCGACATTACAAACATAACATAAAAAAACAAAAAGATAGAACAATTATAGTGTCGTATTTAACCGACAAGAAAAAAAACCAATTAAACCGAATCTGCGCCTGAACGTCGTCTAGATCCTTCTCCTTGAGATCCTTCTCCTTGAGATCCTCCTCCTTGAGATCCTCCATCTGATCCAAAAATCCTCGACAAGTCCACATCAAATCCAACACCCAAAAATCCTCGACAAGTCCACATCAAATCCAACACCTGCAAGCATTCCAGAAAACCTCCCAGCTGGAACTTCAGGAAAAAATCCACTAAGAGCAGCCATCTCAGGTCGATACACTGGCACTTGATAAGGTGGCTGCTGCATGTATGGCATGGGCGGCTGCTGCATGTATGGCATGGGCTGCGCAGGCATCGGATACACAGGATATGGAGGTTGCTGATTATGGCCAGCATACGGATATGCAGGGGGAGGCTGACTTTGGCCCGACTGTTGAGGAGGTTGACTCTGGCCTGATTGTTGGGTTCCCGGGCTATACGGTGGTTGTGGCTGAAATCTTTGAAAAAACCATGCAAACAACTGATTTTTCTTGTTCTCTAGGTCCGAAATCCGTTTATTATTATTTTCGTCCCTCATTTTCAACTCATTATTTTGAGTCATCAGCAACGCCATTGAACTCTTAGATGATCTCCTGGAGGAAATTGATGTAGAAGATGAAGAAGATGCATAAGACACCATATCAGGAGTCACACCATGACCGTATCCTCTGACTCTATTATGCCTCTCAGGACCCATAGTATCAACATAAACTTGGGTCCAAAGATCTTCACTATCCTCCTGGCCCGACTCAATCAATGTTTGCAGATTGCTCTCCATTGTTGACTTGCATTACAATTTTTAAAAACAAAAATTCAATCGTAAAACATAAAAATAAGCTATAGATAATAAATACTAATAAAATCAAATACTAACACGAAAAAATCTATTACCCCTGTACGCTCCGATGTTTCATCAATCCATGTTTTATCTTTTCGTGTATGACATTCACGAAAAAAGGTTACAGGATCTGCTTCTTTCCCATGCTTCTTCCGCTTTATCAAAAATAAAATTTCATACAAACAACTTAAGCAAACCTCATAGTAAAAATAAATATAATTATTTAAAATTAATCATTTCTTCAAAATGTACAATCCATACATATTCTTCCCGCACTCTTGCAAAGGATTTTGTACCAGTGGTATGGTTCATTGATTTCAATCCCCAATTAATCTTATTTTTTTCAGCAACCTCCTGAAAAAAAAACGAAAGAAAAAAAAAAGATTATATTAGGCAACTTTAAAGTTATAACGAAATAAATCGTGTACGGTTTACCTTTGTTTTGTCTCTATTCCAATATGCCAACAAATTATCCCACTGGGCAGGAATCACATCAAGAGGAGGCTCGCTGCGCACCATTTCTGCTCTTTTTGTATAATACTTTTTTTTTTAACTTATTTCTAAACTCTTTATGCGCATGCTCCGCAATCTTAAGCGTCATATGACGGATCAATGGTATTTTTACTATATCTGCATCTTCAAAAAAAATATTTCCCTACATACATAAAAACAAAAAACAAAAAAAATCACGCTAGTCAATTATTATTACAATCATTGACTTATTCTTCTATTTTCAACTAAAAATAAAAACACCTATACCTTTATTCTATTCCAGAAAGCTTCCTTATCTTCTTCCGTAACCTTACGCCAATCTTTCTCCAATGGTAGATTTCTATAGTCCCTAACCTCCGCTGCTACATGTTTTGAAAAAGCACTAGCATTATCACTAATGCATTTTCCGGACGAATCAAACGAACAAAGTTGTTTCGTCCATTTAGGAATTGAGGGTCCACGCCTCCGTTGAGATGTACCTTGTTAATACAAACACACAATTAAAAACCAGGAAATAAATGTATATTTTTAGTTTAGCAATAATAATAGTTCAAACACACACACAAAAAAATAAAAATAAAAACTGGGATTAATAACAATTCAAAAAAGAACCAGCACCACCCTCGTCCTCTTCCAAGTGACGTTCTTCAGAACGTTGATCTTCACGAGAACTATCCATAGCAAAATTTAATGGAAGGAGAAGGAATATGGCTGAAATGGGGGAAAGAGACGAGAGACAGAAGTGGAAGGAATATGGCTGAAGTGGGGGATAGAGATGAGAGACATAAGTGGGGAAGTGGGGGGGGATAGAGATGAGAGACAGAAGTGGGGAAGTGGGGGATAGAGACGAGAGACGGAAGTGGGGGATAGAGACAAGATAGGAAATCAAGAAGATTAAATGTGGATAATTGCATAGCGTCGAAATATGAACACTTTGCGTCGGTTAAAACCGACACAAGGTCTGACTTTGACAGAAAGCCTACACAGACCTGACATACTTTGGGCTTGACATACTTTGGGCAGAAAGCTACAGACCTGACATACTTTGGGCTTGACATACTTTGGGCAGAAAGCCTGACATACTTTTCAGACCATTGCGTCGGTTAAAACCGACGTTATATGGCATAGTGTCGAAATAAGGACCCATTGCGTCGAAATAAGGACCCATTGTGTCGCTTAAAACCGACACTATGTCTTATAGCTTTTGACTGAAAGCCTGACAGTACCGTCTGACTCAACATCATTATAGGCTGACATACTATGTCAGTACCGTCAAAATTAGGCCACATTGCGTCGGTTAAAACCGACGTTAGACTGACAGATTTTTATAACATCGAAATAAGAACAAGTTTGTGTCGAAATAAGATAAAATTTGCGTCGAAATAAGAACAAATTTGTGTAGTGTCTCTGACAGAAAATCCATTGTAGCAGATACTCTCGAAAGTGTTTAATTTTGCATCGGTTAAAGCCACTATAAGCATAATTTGATATGATAATGACTGACAAAGTCTTCCAACCCATTCCCCCGTGCAAAAAAACCGGGAAAATTCCCGCCCAACATAAAAAAAAAAAAAGTTTTAACTTACAAAAAAAAGAGAACAAGGATAAAAATAGAAACAAAAAAAATAAAAAAATTTAATCCAAAATTAAAAAGTAATCAGTTATGTTATCTCATATAATATTTTAATAAATAAATTTATTAAGTTGAATCAATTTTTTTTGCACTGTAATTGTTATTTTAATTTGTTTTTATTTTGATAATTTTTTGTTGTTATTTACTAGAATGGATTAGATGAACATAATTTGAGTTGTTTTGAGAAAATGGAATGAATAATATTTATAAGCATTTATGTTAAATTAACAATATTAAATATAACATAAACTTATAATATTTAGTAATATAAGTATATATTATGGATTAGATGAGCATTTCTCAAAAGTTTAACTTTGATAACATTTGGTTGTTATTTACTATAATGGATTAGATGACTTTGATAACATTTAATTTGTTGTTATTTTGATAACTTTGATAACATTTGGTTGTTATTTACTATAATGGATTAGATGAGCATTTCTCAAAAGTTTAAACCTTGCCAATGTAACTCAAAGCTTGCATTTTATTCTTTTTACAAAATCATCAATTTTCATTGATCATCACACTTTCATTAAGTATAACGTAAGATTTTGTGGTATCCACTAGTATAAATATTTTAATTTGAAGATCGAATTCATTCATTGTATTCATATAGGTTCAAGGAGTGTAGCTATAAAAAATCATCAAAATCAGGCTTACAATAACCGTTAAATCTTCATTTTTAGTTGATAACCGTCGATCATGCATGGCCCGTTACTTCATCCCAGAATGTTTGTTTTTTGCGATTTTTTTAGTATACGATCTCGAATTATATACAAACATGTTTGACGGTTGGATCGTTGAAATTAGTTTCGTAGAATGCGTATCCCATCAAAACGATAGATTCACTAAGACTTAAGAGTTTATTCACACTTTCATTAAGTATAACGTAAGATTTTGTGGTATCCACTAGTATAAATATTTTAATTTGAAGATCGAATTCATTCATTGTATTCATATAGGTTCAAGGAGTGTAGCTGTAAAAAATCATCAAAATCGGACTTAAAATAACCGTTAAATCGTCATTTTTCGTTGATAACCGTCGAAATTTTTTGTCCCGTTACTTCATCCCAGAATGTTTGTTTTTTGCGATTTTTTTCGTATACGATCTCGAATTATATACAAACATGTTTGACGGTTGGATTGTTGAAATTAGTTTCGTAGAATGCGTATCCCATCAGAACGATAGATTCACTAAGACTTAAGAGTTTATTCACACTTTCATTAAGTATAACGTAAGATTTTGTGGTATCCACTAGTATAAATATTTTAATTTGAAGATCGAATTCATTCATTGTATTCATATAGGTTCAAGGATTGTAGCTGCAAAAAATTATCAAAATCGGACTTAAAATAACCGTTAAGTCGTCATTTTTCGTTGATAACCGTCGAAATTTTTTGTCCCGTTACTTCATCCCAGAATGTTTGTTTTTTGCGATTTTTTTCGTATACGATCTCGAATTATATACAAACATGTTTGACGGTTGGATCGTTGAAATTAGTTTCGTAGAATTCGTATAATAATTATTATAGTTTTTAGGGGTGTAAAACTGTTAAATTAAGATATAATTATATATAATTATTATAGTTTTTAAATTCATATATATAATTATATAAAACTGTTAAATTAATATATAATTATTATAGTTTTTAAATTAATATATATAATTATATATAATAATAATTATAATTATTATAGTCTTTAGGGGTGTAAAACTGTTAAATTAATATATAATTATTATAGTTTTTAAAACTGTTAAAACTGTTAAATTATATATAATTATTACATATGATTCACAACATTGCGTCGAAATATGATAATAATGCGTCGCATAAAACCGACGTAAGGTTAACATTGCGTCGGTTTAGGCTAAGGTTGCGTCGATTAAAACCGACGTAAGGTTAACAATGCGTCGGAATAGGCTAAGGTTGCGTCGGTTAAAACCGACGCTAAGTCTGACACACATGACATATGCCGTCGGTTAAAAGTGACAGGAAACAAGAAAAAAAAAAAACAAAAATATAATTTTATGATAGGATATCATAGCATACAAAATGAAACAAAGTCTAATTAATACAAAAAATAATTAATATATTTATTCCCTGTCATCATCTGTTAACTCATCATCGGTATTTGCATGATTAACGAACCCGGTAGGCAACGCTAATGATTCAAGAAAGGGAGTCTCTTCCACGCCAACCCTTGTATGGAAATTTTCATTATCAAGAATTCGATCATCCAAGTTCGGCATGGCATAATCATCAATAGCATCACTATCCTCTAACACGTCAAATAAATCTCTTGGCTGAGTTCGAACAACTATGTGCCAATCTTTTTCAATCGTGTCCTCCACGTAAAATGCTTGTAATGCTTGTGATGCTAGTATGAAAGGATCCTCTTTAAATCCCAATTGATTGAAATTCACCATAGTAAATCCATATTGATCAGTCTTCATTCCTCGTGGACTTTCACTATTAACCCATTCGCACTTAAATAACATCACAGCTCGACCCCTATCTCCTGCTTCAGTAGGACCACAATATTTGACCTCGAACATATCTACAACTCTGCCATAACAATTCACTTGCCCAATTGCTCCAGGAACATTTGCAGGTACAAAGACACCACAATTTTGATTCTTATGCTTATCATCCACAGATTTTATACGAAATCTAAATCCATGAACAATGTGACTTTTGTATCTACTCACAACCCTACTAGGATAATTAGCTAGCCAATGCAAGTCTTGAGATATCAATGTGTCATTAGCATCATATCTTGAATTCATCTGTAATAAGTATGAAGATAAAAATTGATAGAATAACTATAAACATGTTATAATTAAAATGCAAAACAATAAATAAATAATATGATTGTTATATCAACTCACATGTTGCTTGAACCATTCTGGAAATTCTTTCTTGCTTAGCTCCTTAATTTGTCGCATAGTTAACCTTTCTCGACGATGTTTAGTTTTCAAGAATTCTTCATGTTGCCTACACAATTATGTCCAATTTAGATAATTATTTTTTCAAAGTTAAGAAAACCAATAAAACATTAAGACGTATGATTAAACGTTCTTACCTTCTAAATGGGCTAACCTCATCACAATTATTTAGAATGTATCTATGGCACTGATCAAGAACATTTAGATCAAGCTCCACATTTTCTCCTGAACCCATATAACATCCTTTCGAGTCAAAAATTGATAACCCACCAGATACTCCACGTCCAATACCATCTTCATTTCGGCCTCTACGGGTACGATGAGACTCAACGTCTCTAAGATACATGGAACAAAATGACAAGCACTCATCCACCAAATATGCTTCAGCAATAGAACCTTCAGGACGACCTTTATTACGAACATAGCGCTTAAGTATTTGCAAATACCTACAATTATAAAACGAAATACAAATTATTATAATTATTAATTAAAGTTATGACTACAATTGTAAAAAAATTATAAAAATTTATTCATTACCGTTCAATTGGATACATCCATCTATATTGAACAGGCCCTGCAAGAGCTGCTTCATCTGCCAAGTGAACTGGGAGGTGCACCATTATATCAAAAAATGCAGGAGGGAATATTTTCTCAAGTTGACATAATGTCAAGGCAATTCTTGAATTCAGTTGCTTAAATCCTTCTTCAGACTCCTTCTTACTACATAACTGTCTGAAAATTGCACTCAACTCTAATAAAACCATAGTAACAGCTTTAGGCAAAACCGGGCGTATTGCAAGCGGGAGTAACTGCTGCATTAAAACATGGCAATCATGACTTTTCAACCCATGTATTTTTCGTTCATTCATGTGCACACATCGCGACAGATTTGATGAATATCTATATGGGACCCGAATAGTAGACAATACTTTATAAAACGCAGTTTTTTCTTCTCTTTTCAATGTGAACAATGCTGGAGGTCGAAATGTTCTATTTCCTTCTCTACGTGGGTGTTGACTATGTCTTATGTTCAAGAATTCAAGATCTGCACGTGCCGCCAATCCATCTTTAGACTTTTCTATATCTAGCAATGTTCCCACCACACTGTCACATATATTCTTCTCGATATGCATAACATCAAGATTGTGTCTAATCAACAGATGCCTCCAATAAGGTAGTTCATAAAAAATCGATTTCTTCTTCCACTGACTGTTACTACTTGTACTGCTCGAAGCTCTTCTTCTGCGTTGCCCAACTAAAGCATCCTTGTTTGGTTTTCCAAAAGTAAATCTCAATGTAGAAAGTTCTTCGAGACATTGTAAACCAGTCCACTGCCTTGGTGCACTACGATGCTCTCGACGACCATTAAAAGTGATGGTTTGCCTTCGAAACCTATGATTATCTTCAAGAAAACGTCGATGCCCCATATAACAAATCTTGCGACTCGCTGGCAAGTAAATAGATTCTTTATCATGCATGCAATGTGGACAAGCTTTATAGCCATGTGTACTCCATCCTGACAACATTCCATAAGCCGGAAAATCACTTATAGTCCATAACACGGCAGCCTTCATTGTAAAACTATGGTTGGAATACGCATCATAAGTGGGAATGCCCACCTCCCACAACTCATTCAGCTCGTCATGGACGCATGTATACATCAATCTCTTTACCAGGACTGTGCGGTCCTGGTATTAACAAAGACAATAACAAATTTGGTTGCTTCATGCACATCCAAGGTGGCAAATTATAAACAGAAAGCACCACAGGCCATGTGCTATGATCATTCCTCATTTTCCCAAAAGGATTAAATCCATCACTGGCTAACCCTAATCGGACATTTCGAATTTCTGACGCAAAATCCGGATATAAATTATCCAAATGCTTCCATGCGGGAGAATCTGAAGGATGTCTCATAAACTCATCCTTAGGACATTCAGTTGCATGCCATCTCATATGTTCAGCCATATGCTTCAACATAAAAAATCGTTGCAATCGTGGTTTTAAAGGAAAATACCACATAACCTTAGCTGCGACCTTTTTCCTCGAGCTATCCTCTGCATTGGTAATTTTATATCTTGATTTACCACAAACTGAGCACACGGTCAAATCTGAAGTATCTTTCCAATAAATCATGCAATCATTGGGACATGCATCAATTTTCACATACGACAGCCCCAAGTCATTTATAAGTTTTTTTGCCTTATAACAGGATTCAGGCAAACAATCCCCTTCAGGCAACATTTTTTTAATTAACTCCAGTAAAGTGCTGAAGATCTCGTCAGGCATTCCCGCTAAACACTTGATCTGATACAATCTTACAACTGCTTCCAATTTCTTAAACTCCTTACAACCTGGCCACAAATCTTGATCTGTTTCTTCAAGCAACTTAAAAAAAGTCTGCACCTCTTCTGGACGCCCTTCCCCAATAGGGGGCTCAGTAGATGGCCCAACACCTTCTTCTGTTAATGGTTGGACAAATACATCATTAAGAAAATCATGCATGCCAATCACCTCATCTCCTATTTCTTCTTCTCCAATTCCCACATTTTGCTCTCCAATGTTTTGCTCGCCATGATGTTGCCAACAAGCGTTTTTATAATCTTTATCCATATCATACAATATGAGATGTTCAACAATGGTGTTCCTAACAAAAGTATATCGATTACAACATCTTTTGCAAGGACATCTAAACTTATCAGGACCAACACCATTTGCAACTGCTTGATCCAAAAACAAATTAATTCCAGTTGTATACGCTTCAAAATTTCGGGGTATTGTCAACCAACTCTTGTCCATATTTTACCACTTTACGAAGGTAAAATATTACGTTGACACTAAGATGCCTACAATCTTTCAATCCCTATCATGTAGGCATAACTATCAAAATTTTCAATTTCTATCTTTCACCCCTCGAACTCTATCACGATTGCAATCTTTTAATTTTCAACACCTATTATAGTAAAAACAAATTAAAATAACAACAAAAAGTTATCAAAATTATGCTCATCTAATCCATTCTAATAAATAACAACCAAAAGTTATCAAACTTATCAAAATAACAACAAATTCAAATAACAATTAAAGTGCAAAAAAAATTAATTAATATATTCTTATATTCCTAATTATTATAAGTTTAGGTTATATTCTTATATGAAAGGTTATATTCTTATATGAAAGGATATTCTTATATAATAAGTTTAGGTTATATTCTTATGAAAGGTTATATTCTTATATTCTTATATTCCTAAATATTATAAGTTTAGGTTATATTCTTATATGAAAGGTTATATTCTTATATGAAACGATATTCTTATATTATAAGTTTAGGTTATATTCTTATGAAAGGTTATATTCTTATATTCTTATATTCCTAAATATTATAAGTTTAGGTTATATTCTTATTAGAGTGCAAAAAAAAAAATTAACATAATATATTCTTATATTACTCAATATTATAAGTTTATGTTATATTTAATATTGTTAATTTAACATAAATGCTTATAAATATTATTCATTCCATTTTCTCATAACAATTCAAATTATGTTCATCTAATCCATTCTAGTAAATAACAACAAAAAATTATCAAAATAACAACAAATTAAAATAACAATTAGAGTGCAAAAAAAAAATTAACATAATATATTCTTATATTACTCAATATTATAAGTTTATGTTATATTTAATATTGTTAATTTAACATAAATGCTTATAAATATTATTCATTCCATTTTCTCATAACAATTCAAATTATGTTCATCTAATCCATTCTAGTAAATAACAACAAAAAATTATCAAAATAACAACAAATTAAAATAACAATTAGAGTGCAAAAAAAAAAATTAACATAATATATTCTTATATTACTCAATATTATAAGTTTATGTTATATTTAATATTGTTAATTTAACATAAATGCTTATAAATATTATTCATTCCATTTTCTCATAACAATTCAAATTATGTTCATCTAATCCATTCTAGTAAATAACAACAAAAAATTATCAAAATAACAACAAATTAAAATAACAATTAGAGTGACAAAATTAATTAATTCGACTAAATTTTTATTAATTTAACAAAAATAGTAGAATTTTATCTAAGTGCTTAAATTATAATTTTTGAATAAATAAACTTGTGTATTATACAATTTAAAAATTCAAGAAGTGAGTGATACAAACCTGATTTGTTGAAGAATTTCGACGTCAACAATTCTTTATGTACTCAACCAACTCAAATAAATTTCCTACAAAAATAAATTGTAACTAAAAATTAAACATAAGAGGAGAAAATAAAAATATTATAAGCAAGAAAAACTTACTGTTGTGAAGAGGAACAAATGAAGTTTGAAAACCAAAGGAGAAAGCTGAAAGCGAGAGAACACGGGAGACTTTGTAAAAATTGGAAGAACGAATAAGAAAAGTGCAAGAGAAGAAAAAGAAAACACGGGGGAGAGGATATAAAGACCATCAATGTGTCGCTTACAACCGACACTGGTTTTCAAAATATATGGCGCTCAAAACCGACGCAGGATTTAAAATATTAAAAACAAGAATTAGTGTCGCCTAGAAGCGACACCCATAGTTTATGTCGCTTAAAAGCGACACTATTTTATTTAAAGCGACGCCAGTACTTAAAAATATTAAAATATATGTCGGTTATAAGCGACACTAAATTTTTACGTCGGTTTAAAAGCGACATAGAAATTTTATGACGCTTATAAGCGACAGTAAATACGACGTCATCTTCAGTGAGTGTCACAAATCTCTTTTTCGCCACTATATAATATTAAACCGACGCAACAACTGACACTATTAGGTCCTTTTGTAGTAGTGTTCATCTCAAAATTATCACTTTAAATTCTTTTAGTACTCTAGAGCAATTGTAGACATGAACTAGCAAGAAGAATATCAACAACATAAAATGCTAGGAAGATGAATTTGGACCCGGAGAACTTCATATATATGCAATCATCCAACTTATTCTCTACAAAACCTTTTGAGGAGACAATTTGATCAAATTTCAAATACCATTGCCTTGATGCATGTTTCAAGCCATATAGTGATTTATTGAGCTTGCATACCATATTTTCTTTCCCCCTTTTAACAAATCTAGTGGGTTGCTTCATATAGATATCCTCTTGTAGGTCTCCATTAAGAAAAACTGTCTTTACATCCATTTGATGTAACTCTATATCAAAATAGGCAGCTAAAGACATGACAACTCACATGGAATCTTTAGAGGAAATTGGAGAGAAAGTATCATTGTAATCGATTCCCTCTCTTTGAGTGAACCCTTTAGCAACCAAACTTGCTTTAAATCTCTCAATTCTACCATTAGCATCCCTTTTTGTTTTATACACCCACTTGCAACCTATTGGCCTAATTTCAAATTTTGATTCCACCAATGTACAAACTTGATTCTTGAACATTGAATCTAACTCATCCTTCATAGCATTGTGCCATAGAACTGATTGAGGACTTTCAACCGCCTGAGTGTATGTAAGAAGGTCATCAATGTCACCTATATCAAACTCACTTTCTTGTACACAGTCACTGACTGCAGTAGATTTTCGAGCTCTTATAGATTTTCTTGGTTCAATTGGAGGTGGAACATCAACTGGTATTTGTGGTTCTGAAAAGGCAATTGATGTTGTAGGCCGTGTTAATTGGTCAACCTCTATAATGTTATCAATATGAGCTCCTAATTCTTCACTTAAATCTTCAATTGCAGGGGACAATTGTTGAGGAAATAATGGAACCTGAGTGTAATCCATTGTTACAGGGTTTTCACGAATCTGATGCATCTCTTCAAACACAAAATGTTCCCTTGACAAATCTGAAACATCTTGATCTTCTAGAAAGGCTGCATTATGTGTTTCTTGGATTCGAGTATGGTTTGAGGAATATAGAACCTGAAAACCTTTGACTTCTCAAAGTAGCCAACAAAGTAACATGATTGTGTTCTGGGATCTAACTTTTTTTTTCATTAGGATTGTAAAATCTAGTCTCTGCCTTACCTCCCCAAACACGAAAATAGGCAAAACTAGGAACTCTCTCATGCCACAACTCAAAAGGTGTTGTTGAAATTGCCTTACTAGGAACTCGGTTCAATATATAATTTGCTGTTTTCACAGCGTCTCCCTATAAGAAACTTGGTAATCTAGATCTTGTCATCATACTCCTAACCATGCCAATGAGAGTCCTATTTCTTCTCTCTCACACAACATTCTATTGAGGTGTTCCAAGTGTGGGGTATTGTGCCACGATGCCATTCTTCTCAAGATAAAGAGCAAATGGACCCTTTTGCTGCCCTAAATTCAATGTACCTGCCAAAGTATTCTCATCCCTTAACTGATCTAACAATTTTAATAACCTTCCCTATCTATTTTTCAACTGCAGTTCTATAAATAATAAAACAATTAAGTGCATCTGACTTCTCACCAATGAGAAAAGTATATTCAAGCCTAGAAAAGTCATCAATGAAATTGACAAAATACTTATTCCCATAAATTGTTTTAACTGGAAAAGGTCCACAAATATTAGTATGTGTGATTTCTAATAACCCTTGACTTCTCTTAGATCCATTTTTCTAAAATTAGTCATTTTGCCCTTTAAACAATCAACACACTCATTTACAGTAGTGAAATCTAATATTGGAATTAATTCAGCCTTTGAAAGTTTAATTACTCTTTCTTTAGAGATATGCCATAGCCTTTTGTGCTAGAGAATGTAAGAAGTGTCATTTTCTAACATCCTTTTGGAACCAACGTTCAGTACTAGGTGATTATTTGCCTCCACTAAACATTCTAGACTCCACAAGTTATCAGATAGAAAAGCAGTTCCCAAAACCGAATCAAGATAATTCTTTTTAAAGATTTTTAAACATTAATTATCAGCAAGAAAGGAAAAGCCATCTTTTACAATTTTGGAAGCAGAAATTAAGTTTCTTCTCATCTTTGGTACATAGAGCACATCCTTTAATTGTAAAACAAAACCAGAAGTTAATCTTAAGTTCACAACCCCTATTGAATGTATTGCAACTTTAGTCCCTTGCCCCACATAGACATTATAAAAAGTATTTCCAATTTCCCTTTGTTTTTTAAAACCTTTTAAAGAGTTGGTTATATGCACTGAGCATCCAATATCAAACACCAAGAATCAACAGGTACCTCACACAAATTTGACTCAACACAAACACGTACATGTTCCTTTTCTTTGCTTTTTATCCAATCCTTAAAGATTTCACAATTTACTTTTAAATGGCCCTTAGTTTTGCACCAAAAACATTTAAGTTTAGACACATCTTTTGGTTTTTTTAACTTCGTAGAGTTTCTAGGGGAGTCATTTACTTTAGCAGGTGTATTGAATCTATTAGAATTCTTACCAGAACTTGAAGAGCCTCCACTGTTGAATTGCTTCTTCTTCTTTCTAGTTTGCATGAAATTGACATCCTCAATTTCCTTGCCTTTCTCCTGCTTTTGACAAGTTTCTTCTTGTACACATTGTGCAATCAACTCATCAATGTCCCAATTTTTGTCTTGAGTGTTGTAGGAAACTTTTAACTGACTATACTTGTTGGGAAGTGCTTGAGAGTCACGAATACCAACTGCTTTTCACCAATGTTTACATCCATGCAATTGATTTTTTCCGTGGCATCGATCATCTTCATAATGTGGTCCCTTATAGAACCAGTACCCTCAATCTTGTATACAGTCAAGAGAGACACGTATTGACTCACTTCAGCTTTCTCAGATTCTTTAAATTTCTTTTCAATTGCATTCAAGTAATCAACAGCCAAATCATGCTTCTTGATTCCTCCTTGGACTGTATCAGTCATACCACTTTCCAGGATAGAAAGTGCCACTTTATTGGCTCGTCCTTCTCTCAAAATCTGATCTTTCAGCTCTGGTGCTTTGATCAGTGATGGCAGGTTTGGGATTGTCAATTACTATATCAAACTCATTGAGAGTTAATAGCAAACTGATGTCCCTTCTCCACTTCTTGTAATTACTCCCACCAATGAGGATTGGAATGTTAGCCAAATTTAGGATCTTCATTGATATTGCATGAAATCACAATATGAACTTTTAGGCTCCTGACCTTAACAACAAAAGCTGATAAGTATATATAGAATAAGGTATTTCTTTGAAATACTTGGAACTGAAAATTATGTAGCCTTGGACAATCATTCGATTCAATAAAAAGGAATTTGTCGTATTAAAAATAAACTCAGTTCATTAGTTTTAATCTGCATTAAATCAAGAATTTCTGAAGAAGATTCGAGCCCTGAATAGCTTTCCTCCACAGATGATTAGATAGTAAACGCAAAAACACGATTTCAAATCATAACAAGAACACTATCAGTCTATGTTATTCAAATCATGCTATGAAAATAATTTATGCAATACAAGCAGAATCTTAAAAACTGGATTTTCAATTTTTTAATTTGAGTTTCAAAAGACATTCCCTGAAGCATGAGTATCAACATCCAGCAGCAAGCATTTATCACAGATAATATAAAACTAAAGTACAGGTTTGAACAATCATGAAGCACCCATTATCAAAATCGAAATCCAAAAAGGGAAAAGGAAGAACGAAGAATTAGAATCCCAATCCTAGAAAACCCCAAATTAGATAGGATTCGAGTTCTAGCGGTTCAAAAAATTATATTTTTATTAAAACGCACCGTTTTACTATAAACCCAGTTTCTCTTTTTCAGTTCAGAACCGGTTTTGAAACCTTAGTGCAATTTTTTTTTTTTTTTATTTGGATTCTTTTGATTTTAGTCAATTGAATTCAAGAACATAAACCTATGGCTCTGATACCACATGTTAAATATAACTACACAAATAAGATTCAGTTATCAAGATTACAATCGAGTAAAACACAAAACATCAGTCCATATAAGTTTGAACCATACTAACCTGAAGAACTTCCATTGGCTGCAGACATGGTTGTTTACGATTAACCAGAATGCGCAGCAGCTCTTCTTCTCTTCTCTGTCAGATGCTTGTTGCTCAAACTAAGAATGGGCTTAGTACTAAAAAAGCGTAACCCTGTGAGAGGAGAGGCCACTGCATATATACAAATACATATAATCCTTCTCATTATAGCATAAGGACTCCCTATTAGAATCCTTATAGAAAACAACTTATGTCTTCTAACCAATGTTTCTAGCCTCAGGGTGCGCCTAGGTGCCCTATGAGGTTGGGCTTGAGGGTTGCCGCCTTTATTTGAGGGAGTGGGCGGAAGGCGTCGCGGGAGCCGCCTAGGCGCACCTCAAGGGATTTTTTTTTTATTATTATTATTTTTTTAACTCCCAAACCCAAATTTTGTGTAGGGTTTTAACTGCCTCATACATTTTCCTTGCACTATCAACTCTCTGCCTTTTTTTTTTTTTTTTTTTTTATGATCTTTATTTTTTTATATAATGGATGTGTGTGTTGTCTGCGTGCATTGTTATATATGTGCTCATTGTGCTTTTCATCCTCTATTATATATATATATATAATATAATACATGTATATATATGTGTATGTGCTTAGGGTGATTATTGATTAATAATTTTTTTTTAATGTAATATATGTGTATGCTCAGTGTATATATTAAAAAATTTAGGTCCCATGAGGCTTCGCCTCACACCTAGGCTGGGCTATCCCTCCGACGCCTCGCCCACATCTCACGCTTTTAATACATTACTTCTAACATATATCAGTTTAATGCC